ACAAAGCAACCATTATATGTCAGTTACATGGAACTTACAGTTAAAGGTGAAAATTAACTTATCTGCATGCTTGTACAGAGAGACCAATACTGTACAGTTTAAAACATCTTTCATTTTTTTCCTGTCAAACTTCCAGATAGCTCAAATTTCTGGGATCAACCTGCATCCTGCAAAAGCTAGAATCTGATTTCTGTAGTTAATATCCAAAACAGTTAACAGCTTCTTTTTCTTGACCCGGTAAATAAAGTGTCACAGTAAATTGAGCCACTCTGTGCACATTCATAGTGAACAGGGAACTAGTGTATTTGCACATGCCCTATGTTTATTCTACAGAAAGGTTAATTATATAAATGTTTTAGGAAAGCAGTCCCTCTCAAATACTCACCAGATCCTATAAGGGCACAGACCAGCACCATGGAGTTGTATTTTATTTCTGGAGCGCTCCTGTCATCTGATAGCAGTCTGTATAGAATCTGAACAAGCTGAGCATTTTCAAGATCCTTTTCAGCAGTGACTGAAATACAAGTGAAAGCTGTGAAACTGGAATTGGTGCTTCGTTTGGTACTTTTGTGTTTTATCCTTCTATGGAAGCATGGATCTTTCACTGTAGTGAAACTGGTGCTGTGGTAGAACATGTTAGATGGCATGGTGATAGGAATCACAGCTCTTGCTATAAAAATGCAAAATAACCTAACTGCTTGAAAAGACAATCACTATGTTCAGTGATAAAATCCAATCTTAAATATGCAGTGAGCTAATGGAAAATGTGCCTGGCTTTCTAGCTACTTAAGTCAACACTTGCAACATTTAAACATGGAAGACTTCTACTGCCTGAATTTCCCTTTAGAAAGATTGTCTGAGTTCAGTGCAGACACTGAAATTCTTGACTCCGTGGTAGGGAAGCTCAAGGCCTGTTAAGACTGTGAAAGGCTTTGCGAGATCAGAGCATGATTTTTTCTCCTTTGTAGTTTTCTAGGAAACATACTGAATTCAGGCTTGAAACCTTTAGATGTCTGCAGGATTAGAAGACTCATGTGAATTTATCATTTCCTTTCAGTCAAAAATTCTGATGCATTATTGGCAGTGATTTGGAGGTTGAATGTAGCATTCTGTGGGTACACAATGACGAGAGATGAAATCAAGAACAAAAGTATGCAATACTTGTTTAGTTCATGATATTAATTAATAAACAAACAGGACAAAGCCCCCACGGGGCATTTACCCTTCTTTGTTTGGTAATCTGAGTTAGGGGAGATTTAAGTTACTTGTTAGGAGGCAATTCTTTACTCAGAGGGCAGTGAGGCACTGGGACAGGTTGCCCAGAGAAGTTATGGATTCCAACATCCCTGGAGATGTTCAAAGCCAAGGTGGATGGGATCCTGGGCAGTGTGATCTAGTGGTTGGCAGTCCTGCCCATGGCGGGAGGGTGTGGAAGTGATTATCTTTAAGGTACCTTCCAACCTATGCCATTCTATGAAGTTGAGGCATGTAATCATCTCTGCTTTCATATGGCAACTTTAGCATCTATTTCTGTGGAATTTAATAGTAGCAATAGACATATTTTGGGGCCTCATCTACCTCTATATGTATTCTTTAGCTCCCACTGATTAGATAAGTGAAAGCTTTACTTTGATAAGCCCTTTCAAGAGGGGATTGATCATTTCAGTGTACACAGGCCTCAGTCACATAGTTTACACTCTAAATTACAATTTTATTAACTATTAGATTTTATCTGAAATCTCATGGAGGTTGTTCTAGAATCTGTGATCACCTATCAGAATAGAGAAGTAGATATAACTATCAAACTTCAATTTTCTGCATAAACTTATTTCTTGCCTATTTCTTTGCATGAATTGCCATGTATTTCCATGCAATGAAAAAGGAGATGGAAGCAGCAGCCTGTTCTACGTTGTAAAATAAACTCACAGGACTCTCCCTGTAGGGTTTCTTTTGAGCACAGGCACAGAAGAACACAGGCAGTTAGCTGATGGGATACTCACCTAACTCTAAAGCTGCTATTAGTGCCAGCGCAACGAGAGCTTCGTTTTGCATTATTACATGTTCACTGGTTGCCATGGTTACTAAATGCTTGATGCCACCGCTCTGTACAATCGTCCTAATTACATCCTAAAATAAATGGCATAGTAATGAAAAAATTCTGCATTACATACAAACAAAGTTTAAACATTTTAAACATTACATATTGCATTTAAACAAAGTTATCGTGGTAAGGATACTGATTGCTTATATGCACATTTAATTGCGTTACATGTAAATGTATGTGCATGTGAGCCTACAAATAATCTGCTGTTAACACTGCAATTATAATATAGAGCTTATTAAACCAAGCCAGTCAACCAATTTAAGAGACATATTGCTCTTTTCCAAGTTACCACCTATAACTTCAGTTCTTATGGCAGATGGCCAGTTGCCTAACAGTGAATACCCTTTGTGGTGTTTGAACTTAGCTGGTGTTCAAAGATTATTAATTTTTCCTTTTATGTTGTCATGTTCAGGGCAGCTTATCAAACCCACCCCAAAAATTTTGTAATTGAAATAAGGAAATATAAGAATACAGTTTAATAATGTTGGCATCCAGATGTCTTCATCTCTCCATGGATTTTTAGTTTCTTCGAGAAGTTCAGAGAGGTGAGATCACAAATATATCTGCTACTTAATAGAAATTGTGTACTACAATTTAGAATTAGGTAGGAATATGAATAACATTCTCTTGAAATATTGTAAATTTATGCTTCAAATATGAAGCAGGTGAGGAAAGGACAGTTACGAGGTACTGATAATTTTTTTTCTAAAGCCAGCAATTAAAATGGACTGTTGACTAAGATCTAGGAAATAAAAATGCTGGATGGGTTAAGTGACTTTAAACAGTTCAAATATATGCAAACAGGATTCTCTTTTCAAGTTCAAAATTTGATCTGCATTACATATGTAATGAAGAGTGAATAAAAATCTCTGGTGTATGCATTTTGATTACCTGTATGCTATCATTAAAAAGCTAGTTTGCACATAAAGCAAATTTTCATCATTATGTGCACAAAAAATACTTGAAAATAGTTTGCTTGGAAGTTGGATAATTTTGCATGCCAAGGGGCAACTGTCCAAGGAAATGTGGTTTGCCTTTTTAATTTATTTTTTATTTGTTTTGTGGATGCAAAGATTTGAAGCAGTAGTTGTTTCTTGAAATAAGAATCCAATTTAAATTTATAAGCTTGTTGAATTTCCATTTAAAGCACATGTCTCTTTGTAATTCCAACCACAAGCCCAGCTCATTAACTGATACGTGTGTTTAGAATAATTTGTTTCAGTGCTTGCATAGACTGTGCGGGGACATTCTTTGTGCAAGGAAAAAGACACAATATGATCACAACCTTGAAAACTGAAATACTTATAGATGATCACATTGAAGATACTTGAAGATCCTTGTGGCAGAAGTCACAGCCTAATGGCTCAAGAATTTGTCAGTCAGGAAAAAACATTTTTAAATTGTGTCATGTCTGCAAGTATGTAAGTATTTCTGTATTTTTACTTACTTGCAAGGATAGTTTTTCTCACTTGTGATTTTTCTGGTGGAAACTCATTAGTGGCTTTGAGACTTGTTGGAGTACTCTGGGAGCTGCTAATTTCTGTTTGACTTTGTGGGGAATTTTGGCTATCTGCCTTGACATCCAAATTTTAATAACTGTAGTTGAGCATTGCCTTCAAAATGGCAGTGCCAAGCAGGTAAGAGCTGCTAAGTCAGATAACTCAGGTTTGGGTACTCCTGCAACTTAACAAAGGGAGTATGTACCTGTGAGTTAGAATAGAAGTTCCTAAACCACTGCTGCCTTTCTCAATATTAGCCCAAGTACTATTAAATAAAAAATGATTTCAAATCTAATGTGTGCTATGGAACCAGTTATGTCCACAGTCCAAGCCTAGAGGGCAGTAAATGCATTAAAAAAAAACCCAACCACCTTCTCAGCTGTTTTATTCTACCAAAGAAGTTTCTCCTGTAAATACCTAAACCACGAAGAAATTCAACTGTGATAATTCCATTAAGTGCCATCTTAATATCTATTTCAAGCCATTAATAGTGTCTCTGCATTTAGGATTAAATTCTGTTTTCTTGTAGGGAGTATTAATAACTTGCATCTGTGCCTTCTTACACCATCTACGCATGGCATTTGTAAGTGATACGAGGGGAAGGTATAGAACTTGGGGTGGGAAAACTGGACATAAAATGGAGAGTGAGCTTTAAAAAGACACAGTAGTCTAGAAATCAGTGAAAGTGTTTGTCTCGGTAAGTCCTATTGATTTGTTTTTGTAGAGACACTGCAGATTGTTTTTCACTTTGCAAACACCATGGACAAATGAAGAAGTCACTATTGGTCTGAGTTCTCCACATCACGCTGCTTACTTTTAAGCTCAGTTACGATGCAACCTGGGTTTGTATCACCAAACTCAGCCAACGAAGTCAGAGCGTGGAGTAGATTGGTTCTAGGGGAGATGCATGTGCTCCTTCTAGGGCTCTGTTTCATCTAATGTTCCCCCTGAGCAAGGAGTGAAGACTTGGATGTGCTTGGATCTGATAAATCCTTTTATATATAAATTGATACACAGGTAATGGGTGGGACAAAACTCATTGCTCACAGTTTCTCTTAATGTCATACCTTGTACCACGTACAGGCAAGCTTCTGATAGAATTCAGAGAAGAGGATCATTTCTAATGGTCCATTAAAATCTTAAAACTCTGAAATACCATGTGAAAAGAGCAGAGGGACAGCCTATTTCTGGATCTCAGTAATTTGATACATATCTATATAGCAACATCATCATAACTGAATGCAATGACTCTTCATAAGTTATCATTAAGTAGAAAATATGGCACGCTGAATTTCTGCTGGATATAGAGCAAATTCTAACAGGTTGAGACTTAGCTGTATGCACTCTAACAGTGTTCCTTGACTGGCTTCTGTATTTTTTAACCCACATACTTCCAGTGAGTGTTTAAACCTGGTGCTTCAGTCGAACTGGCAGGTCCTGGAGGCTGAGAGGATATGAAATAGGAAATCAACCAACCTAACTCTCAACAAGACTTAGATACCAGAGGCTTTGGCTGCCAACAGCATGAAGTGCAGAGGTAACTCTTCGTTCTTACAAGCTGAGCTTTTTCACCACTAACTTACTTTAGATTTGCTGTGTCGTATAAGTGCAGAAAGTAGTCTGTTTGATTCTCCCATCACACCTGCGTGATCCTTTGCTTCACACCACTCCACCAATCGTTCCACCAGTTTTGCATTTTTTCCCAGTTGTTCAGCTGCTTCTGCTACATATTTCCGGAGCCAACAACACAACAGAGAAGTTGTCATTTTTTAAGCAAGTGCTAGAAAAATAAGCTGAAAGTTACTTACTAGAAGGAGTTCGAGTAGAAATTTGCCAGCTTGTACTGTGTGAAAAATCTAGGTTGCATGGAAGCAATTAAAGCCAGTAAAAATGGAGACAAATATCAGAAATACTCAGACTCAGTTCCCAACTTTTTGTTTGAACTTTATGCACTGACTAACAGCAAAGAAAATACAGGTAATGTCCCAATCCCAGTTGAACTAGTTAAAAAATTTAAAGTACCACTGTCATCAATTAAATCTTGTAGATGATAGGTTGCATAAGTTTCTTCAATGAATTTCTACTCATAGAAGTTATATTACCACAGCTAATAGCTGTGGTAAACTACAATATTCTGAGCTTCCTTTTTATTTCCTTTTTTTCCCCAGGAATCTGCTGTACAAGGTCGAAAACATTTTGGTGATTTATTTCATTAATAACTTAACAGACATTAATTTCGAAAATACACATTCTAGGTACAGAATAAGCTGCAGAACTGAAAGGTGTTTGGTCATTTTGAAATTGCAATTTATCATTGAGCAAGTGCATTAGTATGCTCCAAGAAGCTCAGTACAGCTAGAAAATGCAGCAAGTGAACAGCAAAACTGGAGTGGTAGCTTACAACTCCCACACCTCAGTGCATTCTCACATTGTGACAGTGTAGGAGTGGTTTGAAATAAGAAAGTAAATAAGCATTTGACATCTATTCTGAGGGTCCCTGGTAGTCAGTTTGGGAGTTCTGGGTGGAAAAAAATCAACCCACATTTTTCTCTGCCTTTGTAGATGTATTTATTCCAAAACTTGAGGAATAAAATTAAACAAACAAAAACCCAATGCTTTTCTTGTGTAAGTTTTAGCAGTATATCACAGACTGAACCTAAGTGAATCACTTAACATAGAAAACAGTTTATTTTTACCTTGTGCATCTATTAACATTCGTAATGTTCCCAGCAGCTTGAACTGAACAGGGGGCATCTCCGATCTGAGAAATTTCAATACTGCTTCTGCAACACCAGCTGATAGCATCTTAGCCTTATTTACAACTGCATGAATAAAGAACAGGAATGATCTCGAGAACATTTTTGGAAGATGCAGTTTATTTCCAAGACAGTCTTGGTGCAGTTTTTCAGACAGTTTGAAAAATAGCTTGTGAACACAGACTTCAGGAACACGAGTGTGTGCTGACAATGCTGTGTTGTACAAAAATGTTGTGGTTGCTGAGACACACGTGCAAAATGAAGTGCCTAATCCCAGCATGCACTTATAACCTCTAGTGTTCACTGTAAACGTGGAAACCAGACTTCCCCACCACAGCTTAGGAAAGGAGTCCTCCACAAAATGAACCAAGCAGAAGCCCAGGCCAGTACTTACCTGCACCCCAAAATATGGGGAAACTTCTCTGAGTCCCAACAACACTTTTCTCTTTCATGTAGGGAAGGGAACTAAAGCATCCAATTAGCAGAGTGACCTCTTCCCACTTGTAATATTCGATGCAAGCAACACTGTGGCCTGCCCGAGCTCTCCTTCATCCTTTCCACTAGTCTAAGTTCTCTGCTTCCATGGAGCTCCCTGAAATCTATGTAAGGTGTAAACTTGATCCAATATCATAGTTAAAAAATGTTTATTTCTTTTCAGAGTAGCATTTAACAAGCAGTTCATCACTGGGGCCGTTTACTCCTTACTCATTTTTCTATATTGACATTCATTAAGTCCTGTGTAGGTCTCTGGCTGACATTCCTGAGCACAGGCTGCAGGGAAGCTTTCAAACTGATGCAAGCTAACAGAATTACCTAAGCAAGGTAAGCAAATGGTGTAGCACAAAAGCTGCATGGGTTTAATATGTATGCACAATCATTTTTAGAAAGTTACTGTTTGTCAAAACTGAAAATAGTAAAATAAGGTTAAATGGATGAAAGAATTATTTTGTGGCTTTGTATTAGAAAGCATACGCAAGTACCGTAGGTTTGTTTGGGTTTTATGTGCACATACTCTGCCTCTTATGTTTGCATAATCAAAAGTCACAAATGAAGTTATTAAAAATGAAAAAATTAGCATTCAGTCCATTGCCTCCAAACAGTAACTAATAGAACAGACCGGCTATTCTAACAGCTCACCTCCAGCTCTACCTTCTGAATAGGCAAAGCTTTAGGAAGTTAGAGGGGGATGCAGTGTTTCAATATATTCCTCACTGTTGTCTGGTGGGGACCTTGGGCTGTGAAAGAGAACTCAAATGAAATAAAAACAAACAAAAAGCAGCGCTCTGCCTTCCTGAAGCCTTGGCTCCCTGCCCTTTCCTTGGTGGGGGATGAGACTGTGGATTCAAAGTGTCGAAGGATGGCTGATAGATCTGTGATGTACTTAAAAATGCTAGTTGCTATCACTGTGCAAAAGCTACAAAGGCGAGAGAGCAGAATTTCTCCTTGGATAGGTAGCAGTGCAAAGGAAGGCTTACCAGGAATAGCCAGGTTTCTGAGCGCGCTCAGAGCTGCATGTTGCACAGTTACGTTTCCATCCTCCACATGTCTGTCTAGCAGATCCATCAGCTTTTGAACTATGCCATTATCCACCATATGGATACAGTTTCCGTCTGTGCAAGATGAGACAAGTCACTTGTGAATGAAAGATTTTGAATGCTTTTTAAGAACGGAAGTTTCAGTTCCCTGCTCCTTTCCAGATGTTGGAGTGCTTGACCACCACTGTCAATGGGATTTGTGATGCTCATGATAAATCTAGAACAGTGATAGAAGAACTGCAGAAAGCAGAAATTCCCTACACATCTATTACAAATGTGAAATTTTTTAATAATTTTTTTTTAAATAGATGTAATGCTTTTCAGGCTAGTGAAATATGAAATTACTGATGTTGCTGTACAGTTTGCTACCAGCTTTAGCAGAGTGTACACATTTTCTTTGTATATGTACAGATGTAGCATGATAGAAGGGTACAGTTAAACACAAATAAGATACTATGGACTATTCTTACCATTTCTGGCAAAATTTGCAATAGCCAATGCTCCTGCAAGTTGTAGCTGATGGCTGTTGGAAGGAATCCATGAAAGTACTCTCTGGAACACACTGCCTTTTCCTCCTTCAAATAACTTTTGCATGGATTCATCTGGGATAAAAAGCAGACAGTCAGCAAGCCAAAGAAATGTTAGGGAAAATTATTTTCTTTATATTTGTCAAGCTCTACCACCTTTGCTGCAATCAGTCCAGTTCTGAATTCGATGACAAATGAAATCTAACGTAACCTACTAAATGTTAAATGCCAGCTCCTTTAGGTTATTTGAAAATTGTCTAATAAGTAGTAACATTCAGCAGCCAAATGACAGATGTGTCTGCTGTTGCTTTGCAGAAGTGACACACTGTACTTACCTCCAAGCAGTAACAAAACCATAAGATCAGAAGCTGTTTTAAGCTCTGCAACATCATCCTCTTTGTCACTGTCGACGGTCTTCTGGACAATCTCAAGTAAGCACTCTACCAAGCCTGCTTCAACCAGCTGCAGTTTAATGACATCTGTGAAGTAGCACGTATAGGAGGAGTCAACATTATAATTTAAAATACACCCATTGTACCTACATGCAGGACAGCCAAAACTAGAAGCAACGTCAAGTATTTCACTGACAACTTGTGTAGCTAAAATCACACTTTTTTTAAAAATGTGCATTATTAGGGTCAACTTCCATCCTAATTCAACTAGCAGGTGTGCACCCCCAGCTCTGGACTGCCCTTAGACCACATTATCCACTGTGAAGCAGTGTGGAGCTGCTCTTCTCAAAAATGAGCATATTTCTTTGCAGAAATGGTCTGGCATCTTGGTTCTCACACAGCACATTCATACGAGCCATGCTGTGCTTTGGGCTCTCCAAAGAATTTGGACTGAGTTGCAGAACAAAGCTAGGAGTGCATCTTCTGTTTTGTGTACAGAAGAGCCACTGACTTCAATGAGCTGTGCAAGTGTAAAATACAGATTTTCTAAAAATGACACTTCAGAGCAAGTAATGACACATTTTTTTCAATTGAGCCAAGACTTCGGTCGCTTTTCCAAGGACTTCAGGAGTACAGAAAAGCCAAATCCAGCAGGCTGGATTGGGAGAGAAATTTGTTGTGACCAAAAAAAAGCTGGAAACTGCTAAAGCAAGCTCATTCCTTAGTTACTGGAAACGAGGCTCAACAGAGAAGGTGATGAATGGGTTGTTTAGGTAGCAATATAGGATTTGGAAGCTATAATTTTTCTGTCTCTAGAACGCAATATTTAATGCTTTTTTTTTCCTGTGAGTTTAGAGCTGGATATCTCCTTCTTTATATATATGAATTCCCTTCCTGTTAAGTTAGAATGGCAAATCACCTGATGCTGTGCCACCTCTTTTTATTATGTGAAAGTGATACCATTAGTTTTGCATCCCAACTTCAGAGAGCACAGTCTCGAAGGTCTGCAGAAGTGTAAATAATAGCCATTTGTATGGACGTTTTCTGCATGAGATGGTGTAAGGAGCTTAGCTCAAGTTAAAATATTTTTAAAGACCAAAGCTGCAAAAGTAATTTTTTCATACAATTTACAAGCAACAGTTGGGTGAGGAAAAATGTCCCATCTCTCTGTTGAAGGATGTGCCTGATTCTGTCCATTTACTGCTGTTGCTCAACTTTGTGCTTGTGTACTTAAAAAAACAAACAAACAAAAAAACCACCAGCAATCCAGTTATAAGATAACTGGGTGCTGTGACTTGAAGTAGAAGTTGCTACATCTGTGTCCTTAAAAAAGCAGAACAAAAATGCCTGAACAGTAACACCCCTCCACCACCCAAGCAAACAAACAAGACAACCCTCCTCAATTTACTCTGCCAATAGTTCAACTAGATGTTTTTGCATAATGGCTGGTTGTCAGTGATCTATAATCAAAAGCACCTAACAGCACTAGCACAGTGGTCTCATAATCATTTAGGTATGCCTTGGCTTCACAGTGGAAGAGTTCAGTTGAGTGCCTCACAGTGCAAGCAGCTGAGTTACATTCAGCAACAGTAGACCTATGAAAGTTTACTGTGACTGTAAAACAGATAAAAATTAAGCATTTGAAATGAAGTATGTTGGTGTCACAGAACGTTAGAGTAATTCTGTGTCAGTCTCCAAGGTTGGAACTTCTTAGAGCTGCTTCTAGTAATTATATAATAAATGAATGTATTTTGGCAAAATGTACCTTTTCAGAACTGAAAAAAGAAATCCTGTTTTACATATAACTTGCAATAAAAGACAAAGGACCTGCCAAAAATAGACATTATCACATCGTTAAATTGAAGTCAAAATGTGTCTTGATTTATACTGAGAAGAGTAGGATGGAACTTAAATCTTCTGAGTCTACAATTATCTTCTAAGAATTTATTCCATTTCAGCAAGTTCTAATGCTGAGGTGATGAAGATGTATAGAGCCATCAAATACTGTCCTATCTTTCATACCCTGAGCTGCTTTCCAAATCAGCTCCACAGGTTACATGATGTTTTGCTTTCCCTAAAGGGCAGATATAAGGTTATACAAACCGCTGTGAGTCTTTTCAGAGGAACGTGCTGGAGGGGTGGTCCTGCATGTGTCACTGTCATTCACTGCTCAAGCCAGACTATAAACTTCAGTCCCCTGAGGCTGATGATAATATATTTCATCAAACACCAAACTCAGTGCAAATGATTTCCCAATGAAAAGTAAGCAGAGAATGTCCTCTTATATCTGCAATTAACATGTCCCTTGCAAAAATATTTCCATAGGAAATTAAGCTGTTGGGGGGTGGGGAGTTCTGAGATACCAGTAAATGATGTAGTGACTGAATTATTATGTATATATAATAATATCTATTATTTATTTTTATATAATATTTAATATATAATTCAAATATATAATATTTATATATGTCAGTCACTACATCATTATATATATATATATTGTATTATAATATATAATATTATATATTGGTGCTGCAATGGACTATGAATGCTTCAGCCAAAGGTTGTGCCTATTTTGTTGCTCCTTAGGACTTACAGTCGTGACAGCCTCTCATGAGCTTTCAAGGGGAAATGGAGCTCTCTGTATTTCACAGAGAAACCTGCTGGCTACTTCAGAGAAGTAACAATCAATAGTAAGCTCCACTGATTTTAAAATGCAACTTGTAAAGCAAATAGATCGTGCTCATAGGATAAGAATACAATGCTGAAGCGAGAGTAACAGTCCTAGAACAACTCTGATGAGCATCTCTGATATTCACAGTGTTCTGTAGATAAATGCTGTAAATTCTTCTATAAGAAAGAAAGAAAATCCGCTTTTGATGTTTCCACTACAGGTAGGAGGAAAAAAATATAACATACAGAATGAATCAGAGGTGGAATCAGTATCAGCAATTTGTAGGCCCCTGTCATGTGCTCAGACAGTTAAAATATTCACTTCAGCTGAAACTGTCATCACACAGATCAACCCTGAGGACTGCCAAACAGGGTTAGTCCCTGAGAGAGACAAACATATCCATTCCATTCCTTTTTTTTTTCTGAATTACAAATACTGTAAGATAAAAAAGATCAAATGCTCACCGTTTTCTGCTAGGGGAGCCAAAACTTCAAAGATCATCTCTTTTTTATCATGCTCTACTTGCTTCTTGAACAGTTTCACAAGCTCTTCAGCAATGTTTGTGTAGGCAAACTGCTCTTTGCTTGACTCTGCAAAGCAAAAGTTCCGTATCAAGTAAACAAACCAAATCAAAAGCTAGGATGATTTTTTTTTTCTGTTTTTACCAGGTTTACTCAGTGAGATGACTAATAGTGCACTTCACAGGCAAGAACAATAGACTTGTGTTTGTCACAAAAAGGAAAGAAATAGTCTAATGCTTTAAAGCAGATGTATTGCCTTCAATTGTGAATAAGGCTGTTCAAAAAGATCTATGTACATGATCAAGGCTGTTGGGGCTGTTTCTGCCCAAGAGAATGTAAAGGTAGCTATAGAAACAGTAATGTTACAAAAATAAAGATGGTATTTTATTATCCCCACCTTAAGAGGAAGACTAACAGATCATATACTGTATTTTCCCTAGGAGAGATAAGAGTCATACTAAAAGTTTTAGTGTTTACATGATCTTGTGACAGTGACCTTTCCTTTAAAATCTGTGCATGGCTGTTGCAAGGCTGTTTCATACTGCACAGATAGCATAACATAGATTTACAACTAGGCAAGGTGGCCACAAGGAGATTATTCATCGGATTGTGGTTTTCTATGTTGTGGATTCAATAGAAGCATCTGATTCTATTGCCTATATCTGATTCCTTCTAATTGGCAGTTTTACAAGGGATGCAGATGGTGGGAATGGTGTTCTGTCTTCTCCAGTTGCCACCTCCTGAGGGCCATCTGTAATTAAATCTTCCAGCACCTTTGCTAATGCTCTAGTGGATGGTTAGAGATTATTTTAATGTAGAATTGATCAAGGACTGGGAAAAACCATAAACCTAACCTCTTTTGTGCACATCCCATTGCTGCTTTTTCAATATATATGACTGCACTGCATATTCTAAGTGGATTTTTGACCTTTCTGGTATTTGAAAAGCACCACCACTCTCTCAATGTGGGTTGGTTTTTTTTTTGTTTTTTTTTTTTTACTTTGACATAGTTTCATATAATGCTTCCCATGGGATCTCTAGAATGCAGTCGTCACTTTTAAGTGATGAAAGATGACAACCTGACAATAAAATTCCCTGAAGTTACATGGCAAAAATAAAATATTACAGATGCAGTGTGATTGGCTAAGCTATTGCTTAAGGGAGATTTAGGTATTAAAAGCTAAATTAATTTCGTGTCAATCTTAAAGAACAAGCAGCTTTTCACTGTGCGGGAACAGGAAGGGAAGCAGCTGCTTTAAGCTTCTTTCCCATGTTAGTTGTCCAGTTGGCCAGTGCTGACTGTTCCCAAAGAGGAAAAGAAAATGTAGTTTTCAGTATCATATTTAATATCTTTATGTTTTTTGTTGTGTTTTAGTAACAGTAGAATTTCAAGCAAAGATTGTATTACTTTTTTTACTGTACAGACAGGATATGTTAGTGCTTGAACAGATCACAATTCTTCAAGACATTTCTTAAGTGCTAATGCTGAATCTTTCTGTTGTTTTATTCTATTCTATTCAAACTTGTCTTCTATGTATAAAGGCATTATGTGTGTGACCAGACTAGATGAGTACATAATATTCTCTCTGGCCTTCAAAACTATGAATGGAGGACAGTTTGAATAATTTCAGGCCTTCAAATAATTCTAACTCACAGATATGTTTTTCATATTCTGAACCACAGGATGTCCTTAGAAATGCAGGATGATAATCCCAGCTGCTATATTATACTCTAGAGTAAATGCTCTATAGAGTATAAATATATAATATAGAGTAATATAGAGTAAACATATATAAATATTACTCTAGAGTAAATAAAGAAATGAATAAATAGGACTAAAATTTGACCAAATAGGTTGGTGAAAGATCAACACCAATGTAAAACAAAAGTGATAAAACACAGGCCCTAACAACCTGTTGATTTACACCTTGTTGAATCCCAATAAAAACCTATTGGATCTAAATATCATCACAAACTTCAAATTAAATGAAGTTGTACACAAACTTGTTAAAAACCACAATCTCTGTCATGGCGTGTACACGCAAATATGTAGTGTAGCACATGTTAAAACTCAGCACCTAAAAGAATATTGCACAAACAGACTTATGAACTGTGCTTGTTTCAGTTTCACTCAGTGAATTCCATGGGCAAATTTAATCCTGATAGAACTTTGTGGAGCTGCACCAGGATATATTATTTATATTATTAATAAATAATTCACTATAAATAGCAGTGTTCAGGAAATACTGTTTAGATGATTTAGAATGTGCCTAGTTGCACTGAAGAGCATTAGCATGAAACAGAAAGTATACTAAGTACCCAAATAAATCTGAGTTATTGAAGGAAAAAGAGACAACTATGGATTTCAGAGGTAAGAAGCAGAAATTGCTTGCTTTAAATTTTGAATGTACCAGTAGGAATGCACTGAGACAAGACTTCTGTTAATCTTAAGAATGAACTTGAAGAAAACTAGAACTAAGTTTGAGATGAATGTTGCGGACTTACCAAGTTCTGCTAAATTGCCAAAAGCAACAAGGCACATCTCTGTCAGAGCTGCATTTTGGCAATGAATACCCAACAATTTCACTAATGTAGGAATAACACCCATATTGATAAGCTGTGATTGCAGGGTATCTATGTAAAAAGAAAGCACAACGAAGAGTTAGTATTTGTGTCTGTAGTACTGTTATTTACATCAGAACAACATTTTTCACGCAAAGTAACTCCTAGGCTAAGCAGTATTAAAATGGCTGTCTCCTCTACTATTCTACACTAGGATTTGGTCCAGGCATGGGATATGGACTCAGACTTCCCTTTTCCCCTGGTGATGGGATATATTCCTGTAATTGTTCCCTCCTGCTCTGGTGGTAAGGTAAGTTAATTATGCAGCTACTGGTGGCTCCTAATATAGTTGGGTTTGAGTCTTAGTTGACTGAGACTAGCTGAGTAAAATAAAACAAAACTACGTCAGTGAGAAACTTATTTATCTGAGAGCATGGTTCTATAAACTGTTTTGCCTTAAAGATAAAAACTGGAAAATTAAAAGTAGAATGAATATAAACTGGCACTGAAATAAACATGAGAAGTTTTATAAACATAGGAAGTCACAATGTAGATTATGAGGAGCTTGAGAAAAAAGAAAGTTTAATAAAGACAAAAAATGGAAGGTTTAAGAAAAGTCCTTAGAAGCCATTCTGATAATTTCTTGCATAGGATGGTAGTTTATAGTATTTACAAGTAGGAAAGTTATTGCTCCTAGGTGTCTGCAAATAGAAAGATGCTTTGATGGTTAGGCAGAAATGTGATTGTTTTAAAGGATTATTTATAACCATATTTTATCTTGAACATTACCTATAACACAGCAAAGAAGAAAAACATTGTTTCACAGTTGATTAGAATGAAGCAGACGTGAACAAACCAGATATTTAGTAGATTTCTTAAGTATCTTTTTTCCTCTATTTCTAGGCACTTCAACTACATTTTAATGTTATACACTCAAAAGACAACGATCCAAAGCCTAGTGAATTCAGCAGAATTCTATTTCTTCATTTAACTTTGGATCAAGCCCTACAGGGGAGTTTTTTGTTTTTTTTTTTTGTTTTTGTTTTGTTTTGTTTTGTTTTTTTCCTGAGCAGCTGAAATCAATTAGAAGTTTTATTTCTGTGGAATCAGAGCCACAGAAACTTCAGATTTTTATAGGAAGATAAAAACATCTTATAGCTGAAGTCTAGCAGATTTAGTATCATCTCATATGCTTGGAAACCTCTTTATCTTCCAGATTCTGCCATGTGTGTTTTGAAATTTTCATTAATAAAAATTACAAAAAGATTCTGGAATGTTTATTTATATTTGGTATAAGACACTCTTTGAATAACAATAAATTTGATATACTAAATAAGTTTATGTTGCAGTTATTACAGGTTATTGGGGATGAACAGGAATTCTTATGTCTTGATGTCTTTAATAAAACCCTATTTTTGACCAGTAACTGAATTTCCCTTTTTTTTTTTTTTTTTTTTTTTTTTTAGGGGGTGGATGTTACCTCTTCCAGAGATTCATAATCTTTAGATAAATATATGAGAACACCATCTGAGACATCAAAGAGCTGTTGAAGTTGTCAAATTTCAGGTAAGTACCGATTGCACTAGCGCATGCATTGAATGCCATTTTACCTCCAGCAGATGTGTGAGTCACTACAACGCCTCCTGTTTCATTCCAAACTGACTGTAAAAAATCTAACTCTGAATCAAAAAACTGAGAGGGGGAACTGGAATGGTTCTGTGGAGAAAATGTTTGTGTAGGAGAACTGAAGTTACTGGTAAATAATCTGTTTTTCTCCTTGATTTTTGACTGTCCCTTGCAGGTGCTTAACAATTGTGAAGGAAAAATGGTAGTCATGGATAGCAGGAAAACAAAGACACAAAGGACAAATGCATAGAAAATTATGTGAAAAGAAGTTTCTTCATTACTAGACTATGCTTCTATCTCTTTGAGTAATCTCTATGGGCTTCATTTAGCAAAGCGTTCTGACATCAGAAACAAACTCTGTACTGTGAGTAGTGTTTTGTTTTGTTTTTTTAACACAATAGATAGAAAAAATCTAAGGGGCAAAAAACAAATGAGGAAGAGGGAAATCATATCCTTAAAAGGAAAAAGGAATCTTAAGAGCCAAATGGAAGGATATAGTTTAAGAGAGCATGGAGCGCATTAGTTTAAAGGACTCCATAATTCCTAAAGAGGAATAAAGGAAAAAGAAAATACACCATCAAGGAATAATTGTACTAGGTCAAAACTCACATATTGTATCTGATTCCATGCCAGCTTTTTTTCCCCGGTGGAAGAATAGCATCTGAGGACTAGCCTACAGTGTAGAAAAGCATGAACAGGAATTGCCAAAAAGGGAAAATCTGGGCTTAATATTGACGTCTTACCACAGTAAGCAGAAGGATATACTTTTTCCTCACAAAGACACGACAACCTCATGAGTCACAAAGCCACATGGGAGGCAAAACCTGGAATAACTGCATAACCTCAGCCCTTCACTGCATGAAGTGCTAGGGCCCTATTAGAGCAGGAGGCAACCTCAGGGGAAACATGCATCTGTCTTACAAGCAGCTCTCTGATGTAGGGCTGAACCAAAGCTCAAGGCCAGGCAACATCACGTCTCAGGATGAAACAGCGTTTCTATCAGCTTCCTAAGCAGAGCTGGATGCATGCTAAACAGGAAGCATGAAAACCTGAATGCCTCTTCAGAATTTGACTTAAAGTCAGAAAAAAAACTCTCTCGTTATACTGCTATCAAATATTGCACTGGAAAAATGCCTGTGTTCTCTCGGGGCTGAAAAGCACTGATAGTGATGCTGCACAGATGCATATACAGGTAGATAAAAGGCAATCAATACATGCGCCAGCACAAATAGTTACCTACCTAAAACTTGAATTTCAATGGCTCCGTGTCCTTCGGTGACACACATGGAAACTCCAAAGAATAAGATCTGAGGAGAATATCCCAAATTGAGAACTTTACTGGGGGCATTTGAATTCAAAATGCTGATTTAGGCTACTGCTTGATGTTGGACAAAATTTCAGAAAACATCCAGTCATCATGTTTCATTACTAAGTGTTTATATCACTAAAGGAAAATCTGTTTTCTACAAATAGGTGGCATAAGTTAATAACCTATAAAAGTAATTATATAGTAAATTATATCACTATCTTAAAAAAAGTTAATCTGCTTTTACATGCTTTAGGTTTCTTTGCATTTAAAGTATATTTAGATTTTGAAAGCACACTATACAGCAGTGATGAAATGAAACAAAAACTATGGCAAGCATGAAAATTAGCAAAGTTAAGTCTTAGAAGGAAGCATTGCTGAAATATTGCTATTAGACCATAATCGTGGAACAGTAAGTCTTCCTTTCATTCTTTTCATTCTTTGTGTATTGACATAGATTCTGCAGACAGTAAACAATGCAAGACAGTCCCCAGTCTTTATTTCAGTCACTGAGAGTTTTGTGATCATAGGAAAAGGTTGGCAGATTTATGGCTTAACATCATCACTTTACATTTTAAAAAGGCACTGAATGAAATAGACAACCTTGACAGACTGAATTTTAATATGAAATGAAATGAGAAAGTAGTCTATAAACAGAATTATTTTTTCTCTGTTGTTTCACACATGCATACTGTATTCAGTTGATTTCTGATCTATAATTTGATGACCTAAGAATCCAATTGACCTAATTCTCAATCACTTCTACACTTCTTTGGAAGTATTTTCATGGTCTGTTTTGCAAATCTCGTGAGACAGTTAGCTACTTTACAGACTAATCCCATTAACTTGTAACTAGTCTTAGCCTACAGGATTATGATAACTGCAGAATAACCATTTGTCACTAACTCTTTTATGTGGCTGTTTGCATATGATTATTAGTTGCTAGTTTTTCACTCTTTATCCAAGCCTGCTTTGCCTCTTGCTGTTAAGCAGATGCATAGCTATACAGAGACTATATGTAACAATATGTCTTCAGAATGGGAGAAGCACAACGCTATGCTGAACGCACAAAGGTGCCAATACAGCTGTTGCACGTCTTGACAAAGAAAGCACTGTTACAGGCTTTTGCCAAGACTTACTTAACAGAATTACAGCATGAGGAAAACCATTCACAAATGTGTGGCACACTTGTCCCATTCCTAGCCATGCCTGCAACTCTGCCTTTTGAGAATTGATAATGGAAGGCAGGGATGAGAAATTTGCATCTGACTGAATTCCAGTAGTAAAACAGAATTATAGCTGAGAGGGGTTGAGATAATGTATACGGAAGACAAGGTGATGTATCCCATCAAAAAATCCCCGTTTTCTAGCAATACAATTAAAAATCAACACTTTTTTTTTTTTTTTTTTTTTTTTTTTTTTTTTTTTTTTTTTTAAAGCTTAGAAGTGCAAGAGATGCCAAAGCCAAGTTTGTTCTGTTAACATTGTAGCACCTAATGAAATGGTAAGCTACTATGGAAGCAAAGGAAAGAAGTGAGAGACATCAGGCAAAAATAATTTTAGAACATGAGCAGATAGCACAACCTTATGAAGAGAATCTGAGTTTTAAAGCTTAGACAACATTATGAATGAAGCTACAATTGCAGAACCAGCACAAGGTATAAGAATGCTAGATTAATTTGCTCTGTTTAGGAAAATAAAATATTACTCATAGCTGCTCTTTAGTTGCCATTTTTGTAAAATTCATGTGTGGTAAACGCCCTATGCTAATTAAAAAATGTGAAGCACTTAAGAACGAATCTTTAACGTCAAAAAAATAAGGTAGTTAATTGCTATTAAAAATAGTGCAGTCGCTATTGTAAAAAGAAGGCAATTAGTATATTGTGAACAGTGAGATGTTTAGAATCAAATAAACAATTTATATGCTCCTTGCTCATAAATAGCTAAGGATTGGAAAATATTAGGGTGTTCACAGATAATTATATGCAACAAAACCAAATGCACTGTAATCATCCTTATCTGGATAGCTAGTGCAACTTCAGAGAGCGTGAGTCATTAGAGGAGGTAAGGAAATCTTCAAAGTCCCCACCTGTAACTTGGTAACATCGCATGCTGAGCAGGAAAAGATTACAGAAACAGTAAAAACAGAAAGTGCTGTTTCAAAGACTGAAACACTTTTCTTCTCACGCTTCCAATTTTTTTTTTTTTTTTTTGTCCAATTTGTTTCCATAACTATGAGTACAGCAATCTAAGACCCTAGGACACAATCCCATATTCTCATTCTACAGTACAATTAGTGCAGTGTTTGTCTTCTTTGGAAGTAACACAGGATTGAGCTTTTGCAAGTAAATTGTGAAAACAGCACTAGCTAATCTGTGAGTACAGTTCCCTGTCAGGGCAACCTGAGTTTTTCATCTTTAACAAATCAGTGAAAAATTGCACTTACTCAGCATATTATCCAACTGATGCTGCAATACATGGAAGTAAGTGGTTTTCTTGGGCTCCTATTTGACATTTGTCTTGAAAATTTAACATGGTTGGCAGATAGTATTTTTATAGCAGTTCACAACAGTTGTGCAGCTGTATTTGTGGCTCCTAAAACAAATCTGGAAAGCAGGCCAACCACCTGTCTCTCCATACACATACTGCACGTACAGTCACTGAGTTTTCTTCCTAAAATTGTATCTTATAATTATTTTTTTTTCCTTGGCAGATTATTCAGGGTTCATTTTAGTTTTTGCCACAGCTCGGGGGCAGATTCACCGATTACAGTGGAGCTACAGAACATGAGTCTTACATGACATAGCAATGGGTCCGTATGGAAAGCCCTTACAGAGACACCAGGTATGTGGGGTGAAGGTGAGGGTTGGTAAGCCTCCAGCATTCCTCCTTGATGTAGTGTTAGCACAGAGTGGAGATCTGCACCCAGATCTAGGAGCTGGGAGTATTTCATGTTTCTGACCCGCTTCAGTGGCTCCTCTGACCGTTGCATCAGTTTGTTAGTTGATGTGAAATGAAAGATGTCTTTTAGCAGAGCAGAGAACAGCTAGTGAATCCTCCTAGTTGTCACTGAACTACACAACTGCTTTATAGATTCCATGGGAATAAGCCAGCTTACTAGATGGGATGAGTCATTCACTCCATCTTTAAAACAGTCAAACTGTTGTTGCAGAGATTTGTCTCCTAACTAGTTCACCTATGGAAGACTTGCTAAGAACTTGGGTCTCTGAAGCAAAACTGTTGCAGTATCTCTGCACAGCACTTTGGAACTGGTCTGTCTTGAACTACAAAATATACTGGAAGCTTGCTAGTCTTAATGCAGACAATCATGGAAGCTTATAGATTTACATGGAAGCTTTTTAATACGAAAATATATTTGCTCTACATGTTTAAACAAATAAAGAAAATAATGGAGTTAACACTATAAAATTTGGAAACATATGACACACAGACATCAAGAAAAACAGTTCCTGAAGACTATGAAATAAAGGAGCTAGACAGTTGTTATTTGCTGAATAAGGCAGAAGTACTATAAAGAAGTATTCTTCAATATTACTAGGAAAAGAGGATAGAAAAATAATGCAAGAACAAGAGAAAGACATGAGACACATACAACGATGGCATTTGGAGGTGGAAAGATCTGAGATAAGATAAGAGCTGAGAGATCTGGAGAGATGGTGCAGAAAATGTGTGAGAAAAAAACTGTACCAGAAGAGATGATAAAGTAGATTAAAAATTTATACAATAAAGGTCAAAAAATTAAGCCTAAGGACCTTCCTGAAAAGCAGAAGAGTTGGGGACACAGGTTTGGGAAGTGAGTCACAGGAAGTGCTAAGTTACAATGGTAAAGAAACAGGGAATTGCTAATAAAGAAGCTATTTTTTCATCAGACAAAGCACTACAAATCAGGAGATGAGCATGATTGAAGGAACAGTGTGATTAGCTATCTACATTTGCAATCCGTGCCATTACAAGTCAGGAGAACAGCCTCTATTTAGCTTTCCTCACTTCTCCCCATTTTCTTAAAAATTCCCATTTAGAAAAACTCGGAAGTGAGTGATTGCTACAAAATTTGCCTTGGCATTATTACCACACTTGCATGCAGAAGCAAACTAGGTACTAAAATACCAGGACATTTGTACAGCTAATGTTGAACACTGCTTTCTATGCCTCAGTGGTCTAGGATTTTTAACTTTAGCTACTATCTTGTTTTGTTGTCCCAGCCCTAAACACTTCCACTTAATGTGAAGGTACAGACTGGCAGGCACAGATTAGTGCTGGATATACACATAAATTATTCCCCATATGTAACACAGGTAACATGTGGTTTTGCATACATTTCTCAAGGTGAAAATGGTTAAGAAAAACCTGTATATTTAATCCAGATTATCAACAAAACAATACTGTGTGCCTGAGAAAAACCAATATTATAGTGCCATTTGATATTAAATGAAAAAGAGGATGCAATGTAGCCTAGTTTACTTCTGCAAATCTGTTTCTTCCTCAGGTGTATGATGCATCTATATGTATTGCTTTTAGATACAAGTAAATTCCAGATGGTGATTTAAAAACTTTATACTATTAGGAATTGCCTCAGGAAGACATCAAGTATTTCTTGGAATGTAATTGTACTGAAACAGAAAATTGCATATGTAAATCGAGGTGGTTATCTTTTAAAATAATTTAGAGTTGGTTTCTACAACATAAACCTACAGTTGGCTTTAATGTTTATCTTTTTTCGGTTTTGGATGGGGTTGTTCTCCTGGTAGACATAAAGCAAGTTTTTCGTGTTGTTTACCATTCTCATTGCTATAGTTCATCAGCATGCCACAAAAGACAGTCAAGAGCTTCTCACTGGCTGGATCTGTTTTACTGCACAGCGACCTTATAAGGTCTACTACAATATGTGCACCACCTGCATGGTCAACTGCGTTCCTGCCCTCATCTGTAAAACAAAGAGTTACATTAAAAATAAATGAAACCAAAACCCACCACAGAACCCCGAACATCACAGTAATCATACAAAGCCAACTTTTTAAACAGTGAAGTCATTTCTTCAGTGTTGTCAAATTCCTCTATTTTCAAGACTCTTGAAGGCCAGCTTTTAGTGCAACAGAGCTGGGAAAGTGAGAACACCTACAACAAAATGGATTAACCACTTGGCGCTAATACCTTTGTACAGATGTTTAGTTTGATGCAGAGGCCCTGAAGCTGAAAAATAATCTTCAGATGATGCATTGGATTTTGCCAGAGGAAGGTTCTGAGCATTTACAAAATAAAGTGCACGTATCCTGAAGGCTTTGTGGACAAGCCAAATGACTCCTACTGCTATGTGGATTGAGAAATTGAAATAAAGAACAACCTGCTCCCTTGAGCAAGGGGATATGGGAAAAAAATGGAAAAGCAAATCAGAGGTACCAACTCCCAGTAACCAACTCACTGGCACACAGCGTGTTCTTCATATTTCCATACCTGGAATTTAATACCACTATCAGATTGTTTTTGTATGGCTGAAAGAAAATTCATTCTCATCTGCAATATACTACAGTGTTCTGAAGTTTCATAAATAATACACCATAGTCTTTGTGTGGAACTCTCTGTATAACAAATCCACTTTGATGTATCAGTGTATGAATAAAAAAAAATTGTCCTTTATTACAGTAACCAACTATACTGCTTCCTTTCCCAGCAGGCAGTAGACAACAATCAATAACCTTAATTGCATGGCTACAAAAAGCAGAGATTTCCTAGTGAGTTACAACCGGAATCAACTGGAAAATCTGGATGAAAACTTACACTGCTCCTCAGTCCTTTAATTCTTAATGGTCCAACAGCAGATCTCATCTTTCCTTTGCTATTCTGCACTGTTAACATCACTCTTCTATCCCCATAATAGAGATGCTTGGAGGTTTAGCTATTAAGTTTTCCCAATTCTGCCACACGTGCAGCACGAATACCAAGGTTGTTCTCATTTATAATATGATCTTCCACTAAAAATTGGTCCAGAGCTCTTCAAAAAGTTTCTAAATCTTCCAGTTGTTGTTAATAGCATTTAAAAGGAGCATATTGCATTAGAATGTAAGGGGTATAAGAGGAACAGTGTATTAATTTTACAGAAAAATATATAATTAATATATAGCTAAATAAAGGGTTATAACTATAGTTTTATATATGAATACTCTCTGTATAAAGTATACAGTATAGCATGTATATATAGCTATATATATATGAACTGTTCTATAGTTATAACCATTTGTATGTATAAAGGAGGGTATATATATATATGTGTAGATATATAGATATAGGGACTTCAGATGATGTACTGAGTGGAGCTGGAATGGGAAGAGAAATTCTTGGTGGATCTAAACTGTTTAGTTTATTACCACACTAGTGAGTGTTTTGCAGAGTATCCATGAAATTGGACACGTAGCAGAGGAAAAAAGTCGTTGACTGTTTCCATTCCTGACCTGATCAGGACGCTAGGGAACTGTGATTCGCTCCAGGTATGTATAGTTCATTTTGAAAAATTAGAAACTAGAATCTGTTTAAAGTCAAATCTGTTTAAATTCAAGATAATAAGGTCTGTCAAGGATGGTGTATGAAAAATGGAGAAATACAAAAGCAGTAAACCTCTCACATCCCTCATGCATTGGCAGACATGGGTGTAATGCTGAAATTAAATACAATTCTACATCATAATATAGTATGGCAGCGTAGTTATTCAAATTAGGTGCTTATGTTTATCAAATTAGCAGAGAAAAAAAAAACTTAAAAAATATTCCAGCATACTGTTTTATGTATCTTCTGGAATTTTTTTGATTGCAGATTTAATATATGATTTCGTATATGACTCACCTTTTTTGTGAGTCAAAACTGGTGTGCAAAACAGAATTGAATTGCTGATTCTGCATCAAATAGACTGACTGTGGTATTCAAGTTACTATAATACAATTAAAACCATCAAAGTAAAACCATGATAAAATTGAGCTTGTGATAAAAATCAGTTGTCAAACTAGTTATGTGTCTTGGTATGGAACTGCACATAAAATACTTTGGCAAAGGTATAGTCTGGTGAGTTTAGATGCAAAAATTAAGAAAAAAAGGGAAAAAAGAAAAAGACCATAAACCAACAAAAAAGCAGTTATAAGCCAAGTTCCTTACCTGGATAGAATTTGACACAACTCCACTGAAAATTATCGTGTGATAATACCTTAGAACAAATGAAGATCTGAACATCCTTCTAGTTCTGTTTTCTCTCTGGTTTGTCAGAGAAGCTATATATCAAAACCAGCTATATCTATATCTTTAAGTACATGGTAGTCTCTCACTTTAATGTATGATACATTTTTTTTTATCCTCACCATGTTTTTATTATGTAGATAGATAATCAGCTTTCACGGTACCAACAGCAAAACTAAGGCAGAAAGATATAGCAACAGATCTCACTCTGAGAAATAAGGTACATATAGCATACTCCAAATGTATGGTAAAATGAACTGCAGGATCACCTCCCCAGGTAGGTGGCTGGATCTAAGTGCCAGCTTTGGTAGTCTGAAGTAGAAAATGTGCCTTAATTGAGTTTGTTGCTGTATCTCTTTTGTTGCTGCATCTCTTTCCCATGCTAGGCTCATCTTGTACAGCTGCTTTTCTGCCCAAAGCAGCTTGGTGAAGAGCAGACCTGCGCTGGTGCTATAATTACAAACTCCTGGTGCTGCCTCCTTATGCCTCAGAGGTTTAACGCAGCTCATTAGTGGAGGGCCACAAAGAACTCCATACCAGGTGTAGGAGGAAAACTCAGAAGATCCTGACTACTCACTCCAAGCTCAGGCTATGACAGTCAGTTGCATCCCCAAGCAAAAAGCATATTTCTGACTCAGAGTACTCCATGTGCTTATATGGCCTCACTTCTTCCTGCTTTGTCTCTAAGAAACAGATTTTGCACACAAGAATACCAAACTCCAAATCATTTACAGTCAAAACAAGACCACAGCATGCTGCTGTGTCTTGTTCTCAGTCCAACTATTACCTTGTAGTTCAGCAGCTCTATGAACTCCCACTCTCAAAATGCTTCCAGCCTCCCAGAAGCAGTGTTCAAGTTTATTCCTGTGACCTTTTTAAATAAACATTTGCTGTTCCTATGAGACCAACGTTTGAACAGTTTAATGAGCATTCACAGTTCTACTTTAAAATGTTTCAGTAGAGCTCATAAAGGGCAATGATGTTGCATTATTACTTTTTTTTAGTAAACATGATACTGTTCAAAGATGCCAAAATGACAACAACCCAAGAGAGCAGAGAGATGGTTTTCTTCCTACAATGAAATGTATAGTGAGATTTATTATAGAACAAGTCGCTATTTCCCCAATGTCCTTTAGTCCAACACAACTATCTCTAAGAATGACTAGAGTCTCTTTTTCTATCCTTAATTACTCTCAGGGGTTTTATGCAGAACTGGGTTTTAATATAGACTATCAAATTACTGTGATGGCTCTCATGCCTCCTATGCAGACATCTGTCAAATTTCATTGTGGCCCTCTCTTATAGGATCTCAGGGATGCACCAGCCAAAGAGCAAAATTTTTGTAGTTCCTGACTAGAAGATCTTTAAAACTCAGGGGAAGGTGCCTTCTATACTTGTTCTCCTTGAATGCTGCCTTGGAAGATGCAGCAAGCCTATGCAAAACCTCTCTATGGCAGCTCTTTATTTCTCAAAGGGCTCTCAACTTCTCTTCATTGAGGATTGGTTTCTTCAGGACCCATGCTTGGCTATCCTCCAGGCTGGGATTATTTGTCAGAGGGGTTGTCATATACATTAGAACCTATAGTTGTTCAGCCTTCATTTACTGAAAAAACTGGTGCAAACACTTCTCCCATCTGATCAAATCTTTGCTTTCATACTGCAGAGTATCTTCTATGTCTGCCCTCCGTTCATGTGATTTGTCTGCTCTTCATTCAGCGATATGTAACGCAGAAAGTTTTTCCTCCAACCATGGAAGACCTTCAGGAAAAATATAAAGGTACTGCCATACAGCTGGAGTGTGACCAATATCCACAAGTAGAATAACATCTTATAATAGATAATACAGAAATTATTTTCAGTGCACTTAATATGTTCTCAGGTGTCTGACAGAGCTGCAGAAATTCAGATGCAGTCTGTCAGTTCTGCATTCTTTGTGGCCAAAATATTGCTTAGGCTGAACCAGGGTTTTATGGAGAATGTTATTTTAATATAAGATGAATGTGCAGTAGTCCTAGGGAGGAGGGGGAAGAGTTCTTTCTTCATGTTCTGTTTTCATTTTCTTCTTTTTTTATGGGACCCATTTGTGTAGTTGTTTCTTTTTCACCATACATCTGCTTCTAGTGCTTATTCTTTCACCTGAAATCATAATTTTCTGTGACATCAAACTGGTTGTTGCAGAGAAAATTATGATGTGACATTCATAAAATTATGAGTACATGTGGTAAAAAAACCAAACAAAACAACAGGAGCAGAACTTCGAAGGAAGAAAGGGCTCACTTCCATGCTTTAAGTAAGAAAATGAAAGAAAATTTAAAAATTTTGGGGCAAACCCTTTCCTAGCATAAAGCACACTATATGTGCAGATATTAGGAAAACCTTAATTACTTGAATTAACTGAGAGTTTACTATTATATTTTTCTATTTCATCATTTTAATGGTGAAACTTGTAATGCAATGCTGCCATTCAATTTTAATAATACTTGACTAGGCTTTTTATCTTGTTTGTGTATGCTTTTAAATCAGAGGATTCTGCACTCTCAGTTCTTTGCAGTCTACAACCCCACTGCAGAACACAGAGCAGCATTCCATTAATTTTATTTTTTCAAGGAAAGTAATTTCATGAAATTATATTGCACTGACGGTATTGTTTGCTGCTTTTTTTCTGCATCTTCTTTGCACTTGTCTACAAGCAACAGGGCATGGCAACACTGTGCTTTGGTATTAATGTTTTATGACTTGAATGGTCAAATTGATTTGGGATTGCTCGATTTGTACTGAAGTTCCTTTCCATTTATTTAATTACCTCAGGGATTATATAAATGTGATTACCAGAAGTACTTTTTTAAAAATTTGCTTGTTGATTAAAATCAATGACTATAGTCTTAATTTTTTTCTTTAATGAAGAAAAAACTCATCCTCAATTAGCCATGCCTGCTGCCAAGAGAAATACAAATCTTGTAGTTAGTTATCTTAAATTGCCAGCACCTATCATCGGTTCTAACTCCAGTTCTAACTCCACCTTCATTGAGGGTGCCGCCTTAAAAAATGACTGCTAAAATAGTAAAGAGTTGAACAATAAGCTTGAAATGCAAACAGAAAACTGTATTTTAATACAATGTCTTCAAAGACTGAAAAGGTGTAGCATCAGTCTTCCTGGATAAAATCGCTGCCAGCATATGTGCTGGGTAGTGACAACTGAAGCAGTGGTGTATGGGCCCAGAGGCTGCTACCAGACACAGAAGCCTTGTTCAGCTCAGGTACTGGACTGGCAGATGAAGGACAAAACAGCTACTAAAATAAACTGTCAGGTGCTCACTAGCACTCACACAACTGCTTTATTTCATCTAATCACTTTAAAAAATGTTCCAACTGAAAACCTAGTGATATTTTTGGAAGATTTATTATATGTTAAATTTTGAGTGCCCTGTAGGGCATCAGTGCTAACAAGCCTTCCTCTCCCTTGGCAAGTATCATGGAATTTCAGTCAGGAGTTCGGCTGAACCTTTGAAGGGACAGGCGAATGTGACAGTATCACAGTGTCCCTCGTGTAATGCTGTGGTAATAGCCAGAGGCAAGCCACACTGAAATTCTCAATTGATTTCCAAAAGCTATCTTGTTTTTTCCAATTCCTCTTCTGTCAGATACAAGATAAATCACCTGTTTCTAATTTCAGTCAAAAGAACAAACATAGTTCCACTCATGAATTCTGTTAAAAAGCAAGGAAACCAAACAGTATGAAAAAGCTAAAGTAGCTAAGCCTAAGACAGGCAAGGGGCCTCCTGGCTTAAGTGCAGCAGTTCTCTCTGCCTTCCTTCCCACTTGAAATGCTCACAGCAGATTCTTCTGCTGATTTGCTAACTCCACGCAACTCCTGAGTAATTGTACTGCAGCCAAAACAAATTACTCCAGGTTTATGAGAGTGTAAGTCACAACTAAATCCAGCCTATGCTTTTTACTTATGTATTATAAAATAAATAATGGAATCCAATTATACCATAACTCATCAAGCAGTTTTCCTACAATGGTAGGTGGGCATTTATAGCATCCCATGCTATTAACAGAATAAACCTGCACACATTTAGATTTAGATTTCTCAGCTTCATCTGGCCACGAGCAAGGATCTGAGTAGACCAAAACCAAATGCCAAGCAGAGATTTTCTGCTGGGTGCTGCTGAAAGGAGCTCAGCATGAAGCTGAGCCTGGCATTGTGCAGGAGCAGTGCTGACAGCTGAAAGGAGCTGTGGTCCTCCAGCAAAGCAGTCAGAGAGGCAAATTCAAAGTGTGTGACCTACAGGGGTTTGAAATAAGGCCAAGAGGCAAAAAGCAAAACTGACTAACGAACATCACAAAAAAACATCACAAAGCACGTTTGCAGATCTTACTAGGCCCTGAGTAGTGAGGAATCAAGTGCCCTCGGAAAAGCTGTGGAGAGTCTTGGGTTTGGTTGGGTTTGGGGTAGTGCTGCCTTTGCCCAACAGTATGCAGCTGTAGGGAGCGAGATCTGGCCTTCAAAGGGAGCAGCGTTCAGCCTGGTGACTGTAGGAGATGCTTCAATTTCAAGGGTTGCAGCTTGAGAAAGATCAGTAAAGTCTTTTGTTTTAGGAAATCTTTTACCTCTTTAGCAGAAGGCCGTTCACTGATTTGACTTTAGGGCATCAAGGAACATAAGGTGACTGTAGAACAGCCCACACTCAGGAGGCGAGGTGCTAAGATGTCATTGATAAATGAACTGGACATCATCTCAGGTAAGTAACCCCTCTGCAAGGAAGTAGGTACCGCTCTAGATAGCCTTCTCACACCCACCCTGACTCCTCAGGCTATTCTGCTGGCTGGACAACTGACAAAATGAGCAGCAGCCTCAGGATTAAGGGCAATGTTGGAATGTGAATAAAGCACAAACTTTAAAGACTGTGAATGAAATGCAGGAGGGGGAGAAAGTAAAGAACTGGAAAAAGTCTGCTTTGTTTCTCACTTTTGTAGTCTTGGTTCCTGTTCTGACAGAATACTGATCTACATATTCCAATAATCTTCCTGGAAAAAATATGGAAAAGGAAAAAAAACAGCATTGCAGAAAATATAGAGGACTCTTCATACCTGAACTCTTTGAAACGCAAGAAAACAAGTCTCATATATTCATTTTAAAGACATGAAGAAGAAAGTGCAAATACATGGTAAATTGCATTTATTAATTTACTTTTCTTATGTGGGCTGCTTTTAAGTTTTGGCTTAAGTCATAAGAATTTAGTCACTTGTCTCAATACGGTCAATATGTAGAACATAAGTTTGAAAAGAGTAATAGCCTTAGAAGGAGAATTCATGTTTTTGTCACCCTTCAAATGGCTCTTTCCAGTGCTCTAGGAAGATTTATTCTGATTCCATTTTAGACAACCATAAATTAAAATTATATTGTTTAATAGCTTCCTAAGAACATTCGTGACTAATTGCTGGTAAGTACTAAATATTACTGTGAAAGTGTCTGTTGGCATGCATATGGTATACTTGGTTTCTAGCTGATGCAATGCTTGTTCTGCTGAGGGTTGGAAAAAATACTGCATTATCAGGGACTCCTAGGTTAAAAATACAGCATAGTTTTCTAAGACTCAGGCACTGCTTAGAGAGGACAGGTCTAGAGGTAACACAGTATTGCTGCACTATGAAAATTAGAATTTGACACCTCTCTCTGTAAACAATCAATTTTCAAGCAATTAGTTACAACCTTTGGTCTCAATTTCATGATACTGCTTGATTCGTAGGTGGTATTTGCATTTGTTAAGGTCTGATACAAAGAAAAGTGAAAGATTGTGGTAAGATGCTGCCTCGCTGCATGAATCAGGGTGACTTTCATAAAAATAATTAGCCACTAGTATGCTATTATCAACACCAGTTGCATTTTAGGATTCTGCTGTTGTTCCATATGGTACTATGAAAGGCTATGCCATTTTTTTGAAGAAGAATGAATTTGATGCGTTTTCAGTATGCTTAATTCTTAAGTGTCTGGTTTTCAGCTTTAGATCCTGAAATTAAACTTGTCTTCTGAAAGATGTATGAAATTGTACAGTTGAGTAGTTTTGTATTTTTTGTAAATAGCCTTCCTTCTGCAAGAGGTCTGTACATCCTTCTAGGATGGGCAGCCAAGTGTACGGAATACATAGCATCCCAGTTCTTTTGAACATAAGAGGTGGCATATTGTTTGTGGTCTAATGTTAAGGGTGGGATCAAGACAGATTTGGGTCTGTGTGAGAAGCCACAGAGGTCTTGCCATTAGTGCAGTATGACTAGGTTGATAGAAATGTATGACTTGGGAAACAAGAGAAGGATCCAGAGCATATCCTGCAGAAAAGCAGCTGTCAGAAGGCAGCCCTTACAGAATAAGTTGGCATTTTTAATTTCTCTCAGGTTCTACAGTTATTTATATCATGAACTGTGGTTGGTGAAAACATGCATGCATGCTGGTGGTTTTGTGAAAAAACAAGGGACCAAATGGAGTAAATAGCAATTGATCTGAGGACCCCTGAAGAGGTCTCTAACCTCTACCATTAATGTGAATTTTATAGAAGTGCAGAATGGGATTTTTTTCATTTCTCTTATAAGATACATAGAGGGTTTATTTCACTGTGAAAACTTTCAGAATATTTAGATGTTCTGAACAGCAAGAACGAATTATTTCATAATGGGTAAAATCCTGTCTCAAGTCAACGTGAATTACTCATTTTCATTTTTTGTGGTTTACAAATCAAGCTCTGAATATCCTAGCTTTTCACCACCTTTTATAATTATCACTTTAATATTACAATTACAGTACTTCCTACAGTGTGCTCAGTGTTGTATACAAATGTGGGAAAGTAGTCTGTCAACCAATCAGTTCAAAACTGGAGTGTTTTTCACACACGCTCATGCGGATCTTGGTTTTTGTAGCAAGAACTGTATTATGTTAAATTACCTTTCTCAATCAGTGGAGATGGTTTCATACGCAATATTTAGATCTCAAGATGTAGGGGGAACCTTTTGGACTTCTGGAAGTATGCTCTAAAATACCTGTAAGACCTATACATCTATAACAGCTCTAAAAAAAAAAAACATCTGGGAAGAATCACATGGTGTTTTTGGAAAGGAGAACAGTAGGAAGGTAGCTTTGATTTATTTCATGGAGAAAGAGTGGCAAAGCAACTACAAGATAGGTCTTATGTTCTGACTAGACAATGCCTAAGAATTTAGCTTTGCTTGTAAGCAGAAAGTAGCTGGTGGTAAAAAGGAATGAGAGGGCTAGGATTTTTCTATCTAGCAATAAAATTAAGACAAAATTCTGCTCCTGAGTGAGGCTGTGGAATCCATTGTCTGGGCATACAGATGTTCAAGTGACTGTATTTGGTATAGGCTGTAGTTGCAGTGGGAGAGAAAGCAGGTGGGAGAATGAAGAGGATCACACCTCCATTTCTTTGCAGTTTTTGCTTTGACCAAGATTTGGGGAGCAAAGTGAATGTGGCATAACTACATAAAGCATTTAGAACAGTTACAGGCTGTACAGCAACATGCAGTAATGTATCTGTTCTTAAACTGTAGGACAGCATGGAACAGTTTGCATAGTGTGGTTGTTCCTGAGGTAAAATCTTTTAGGCTGCCTCGATTGTTTCCTTCATCTATGCTTATCAGAGGAAGGCTGGGAGACTAGAAGCCTCATCAGAACTAACAAAACTTTCTTCTACTCTGCTTTGCAGTTATATTTGCCTGTATTGGTGATGTTTAGAGATTACATAAAGGAGATATTTTCACAACATAAAAGCTTTAAGAAGGATGCTCTCATGGCTGCTTGGGATAAATTTGACCTATTTTTTTCTCTTTAATTGTTTATGAAATGCATTTTATTGTTGGTTTTTTTTTTCTTCCCTTTTCAAAGAGTTTATTCAGCATTATTTTTAGGGGCCTAAAATTGGGGATCACAGAGATGATAACACTGTGCATGTTACCCCAAACATAATGGAGAAGAGAATCTGTCACTAAGTAACAGCTTCTATTTCACGTTTTCAGTAAGGAAATCTTTCAGTATAATGTCTGGCCAGGAGGTTTGTAATTCCCATTTCTTTGTGGAAGGGTATTAAACCTGAGCATTTGGATTTAGCAATGGATACCTCTCCCACAGCAGCAGTGTTTCAGAAGTAACCAGTGGAAATGGCCTTGCCTTCATGCAGGAGATCTGAGAAACAGTGTCATTTTAATTTTATCAAGAGAAAATTATTAGGGAATTGTCCTTCTCTGCATGGTCATTTCGTTGGGGCTTTCCCCATAGAAAACAAACAAACAAAAAAAAAACCAAAAAAAACAACCAAAACACTTTACTCATAGCTTTCATCCTGCACTATACAGATTTCCCTCCAAAACAAAGACTTTATTAGCTCCTTTTGTCACTGACAAAACATTATGTTCTTGTTGATGTGAAATAGAGGATATTTGGGGCTTCCAATAAATAGAAATGTTGCTATGAGCTATTCAATATGGGCTTGATTTCAGACTTTTAGCCTAACACTGATTTAGGACTTTTAGAATGTTTTCCATTGTTGCATGCTATAATTGTATGGCTGTGGAAGTGGAAAAATAGTCATGCACGTGGTAAAATAGAGTTCCTGAGGTATTTTGGGTGTCTGCGGCAGTCCCAGTTATCAGAAAAGTGACATCTGCTTTTGTGTCAGCTGAAAAGAAAAAGATGATCTATACAAAATGTCTGATTAGAACATGATTAGAAATATTGTCCTCCGCATCTTGTCTTTGCTATATATTAAATATCTTTGTTAGGGAAAAGTAATTTATATAAAAATAAATTAGTCATAAATGAGAATATACTAAATTTTATGGTAATAAGCATATTTAAAGTACTTGTCTTCAGTACGATTCTAGGATAAGTTATAGAATCATTACACTTTAAGATAACAATCAAAACAAAGCAGGATAGGGTGGATGCGATAAATAGGTTCCATGAATAGCCTCTTCCACTTAAATCAGAGATGCTGATTTGATTTTTGTGGTATTTTATTACAGCCTGTTCATTACTCTTATTTAAATGCACAGGGAGGGCTGTGACTGTCCTACAGGACTGCAGCAATACAAGGCATACAGAACATATCACTGTGCTGTAGGTTTTTGTTCCACAAAAAGGCAGCACGAGGCAGATAGTGCAACTTTTTCTGTGCTGTGTAAGTCCTGCACTGTAAAAGCAAGAAGCAATCCACATTACCCAATATTTGAAAACCATTTTCGTGTTTGCTTATTGTATTTCATGTAAATTTGTGGGTTGAACAAACAATGACATGAGTAGTTACACTGATTTTACCAGCGTGAAATAAACCACTGCAACCTGGGACTGAGCTTTATATCACATATGACCCTGAAATAAAATTTAGTAAGTAAAATGTTATGGAAAGCTCAATAGTTTCTTCTTGAAGTTTCCACAGGGAAGCAGGTGTTCAGTTGATTGGTCACCTTAAACAAAACCCTAAATGAAAAAATTAAGTATTATCATCCTGAAGTGGTAGCTGTCTGTAAATGAAAACACCAGCATGGAAAATCTGATGAGCTTCCCTGAGGTCAGAGACAAGATAAGTAATTTCAAACAAGATAAAATGCAAATTTCCAAACTAGCTTGAAAAAAATTGTAAGACGCTACCAATAATTCCAGTTTTGAAAGACAGCAATTCAGAACAGCAAAAACTTTTAGCAGATGTAAAATGTACCACAAAGAAAAACTCTTGCAATGTGAAATAAAACACTAAATCTGAAGATAACAAAGTGCTTATGCAATTGCATTTCACTTCCCATATGCAGACATCCATAGGCTTCTAGCTACTTCATGTGAATACAGAGATTGCATTTTCAAAACACTGCAACCGCTGGTTTGTTTTTGCAAATCATGTGTCCATGCATGCAATCCACACATGGAGTCACAAGTGCATTGCAATTTGCTAATGTGTGGCAATTCAAAATTTATTTTGACCACAAAAGAACTAAAAGTCGTCACCAATCCCCAAGTCCTGATTATCAAAATTAACCACATGTAATCTTGTTGCAATTGATTGGCCGCTTAAGAATTCTGAGAATCAGCAACACAGCTGAAGCTTCCCTTTCAGCCACATGTGTAGCTCTGCGCAGCTCTGAGACTGGCAAGATATGAATATTCCCTTCT